CCTGAGTTGACATTTGAGTGACTAATGCCCGGTTTCTATATTTAAATGTTTCATTTGCCCTTGCTAACCGTTTTACACTGCGGAACGTGCTTAAAAACTAATTATGGCACAAAATGGCACTTAAGAAACTTGTGACGCCTGCATGATTTTTATGCGAGTTAGGTTGACAAATGAACATAAGTATATGCCAATGAGGGCTAATAATTTTCTGATCACCAGATGTCACTAGTTGACACTAAGGTAAAGTTTTTTTGTTACACAATGTAATTTAATTGAGAATTTGTTTTTTTAATAAAATTTATCAGTTTCTAGAGTATTATATTAATACACAAAACAATGCGTCAGTGATTTGCTCTTTAATTTTTTCCACTTTTTTAACTTTTTTAATTTGTTTACTTTTATGAATATCTGTGGTTTTGTTTATTTATTTTTGATCGTATTAATATAAAATATAGTAAATAGTACAGAAAGAAACAGCAACCTTTACATTTTTCGAATAAATTAACGTCCCTCCTATGAAATCGCCTCGGCCTCGGGAGCGCTACTCCCGAGTGCTAGCTGCCTACGCACACTAACACTATGTGTATGTGCACGGTACTATACAAGTAAAAAGGGTGTATATACAAGAAGTAAAATCAGTAGTTTCATACTGCTGTATTACGCTAGATCTCCGTGTAGTGGCGTTGTAAGAGAATTCAGTATCTCATATCATCCCGGGAGTGTCATACGAGGCGACAGAAGGAAGTGAAAAAGTGAACGAGCAGGAGCATATTTCCGATAACAACCCAAAAATAATTGATAAACAACTGAATTCGGCTTTTTACTAAAAGGTATTTTTATAAGCACGAGGAGGACGAAACTCTCTTGAGTATAGGAATCGTGCACAAGGGGCTTACTTTACTAGGGCCGGATTTAAAGGGAAATAACAGGGCTTAAAGCCCCGGACACCTAAACAAAAGAGGGCCATTCCCGGTAGTCTTTTTTTTTATAAAACTTGCCAAAGGATTTTATACAAAATGTAAGTTCTTTTTCATTTAATATAATATGTTTTCTTTTATTACATGTACCTGTACATAATATGTATTACATTCACGTGGAGATTTTTATTTGTCTCGAAACAAATTATTATAACTTTTAAAAAGATAAGGTTCTCTTTTATTTCAAAAATTATTCTGAGATGGTAATGTAATTTTAACCGACTTATAAAAGGAGTAGGCTTACAATTAGACTTTATTTTGTTTCTTATTTTTTTTTTGTATGTATGTGCCGATATGGACTACCTACTCTATTTAATGAAATATATTGTACTTGTACTTTGGGGATAACCTTTTTTAGTAATATAACTCTTTAGACGACATTGAGTTTGTGATATTACTTGGTCCACTCAAATAATTCACCTGAAGTTAAGTAGTTGTGGTGTGCTATGTTTTGGCCCATAGACATCTACATCTATTCTCGGTTAACAATCAAACTACAGATTTTTGCCACCCCTGAAGACTAAGATAGAACACCTCGATTCCAGTAAAAAAGGTATCCGGTACTCTACACCTACTATACACAATACTGCAGCATCAATCTGATATTTTACGCTGGAATTATATGACAAGATGGTCCTTTTCCGTTCGAGCCATATTTTCAATTTGTGCATAAAATAGCATCCCACTAACCTTATCTACTTAACCAATGTTAACGAATGAGTTAAAATCAGGCATTTAGATTAGGTATTTTCTATACCATAGGGTGACAAACGAGTACACAGTCCACCTGATGGTAAGTGGTTGCTGTGACCCATAGACATCTACATTTATCCTCATTAAAGAATCTAAATGCAGATGCGTCGTCACCCGTGAGGACTAAGATGGAATGCCTCATTTCCAGTAAAAAGGTTCACCGGTTCTCTACACTCACCATACGAAACAAAGCAGTGTTAAGCTGCTATTTAACGCTGGTATTCTGTGAGAGCGTGGTCCTTCCCCGGTCGAGCCGACCCATTCGTTCTACAACTATACTTCTGATATAGCTGCAGCATGGCTCTACCACGTAGACCACGTTATGAGTATAATGTAATCGTATGGTGACTGTAGAGAACCGGAAACCCTTTTTACTGGTAACGAGGCATTCTATATTAGTCATCAGGGGTGACGATGCATCTAAATTTTGATTCTAAATCGATTACAGATGTCTATGTGTCTTAGCATCCACTTACCAATAGTGGACTACGTGCTCGTTATAGAAAAAAAAAAACAAAGTTATCGCTATGTTTTTTTTATAGAATAAGGGTGACAAACGGGCACACAGTCCACCAGTCCACAGTGATGGTAAGTGGTTGCTGTGACCCACACACATCTACATATATCTTCGTTTGCGAATTAAAATGCAGATACGTTGTCAGCCGTAAGGACTAAGATAAAATGCCTCCTTTCCAGTAAAAAGGGTCTCCGGATCACACTCACGAAACACAGCAGCATTAAGCTGCTATTTTACGCTGGTATTCTGTGAGAGCGTGGTTCTTCTCTGGTCGAGCCGACACATTCGTGCTACAACTATACTATTAATATAACTGCAGCATGGCTCTACCACTCTCTGTCGTATCTATTGATAGGGATATGTAGGTATTTATAATCCAAATAGGTAAACAGTAATAACGACAAATTAAAGTACAGACAGTACATTATAAGAACCAATGTCGATAATAATTTAGAATTTACGTGGCACGAAGATTTAAACAAAGATAGAAATGTCACAACTGAAAAACGCTTGCTGTGAATTATTAACAATACTGAGATAGGACAGTTAGTAGAGTAATGCGAGGGACAGTTTATCACACTTTATATACAAAAAAAAAAACATTATATAGAGCTTCTTGTATTTCTAAACTCCTCACTCCTTACTGGGGCTGCTCTTGAGTAATTGAGGTAATTTTAAGGTAAATTCACGACACCTGTGGATTCGTGGATGTACAAAAAAATGCTAAAAGTAATAAACCGAGTGACACCTGCAGCCGTGAAAAGTTTAAATATTAGGTACTGCTTTGTATTAACCACTTTAAATTATACATTAAGTTATATTCTGGTGGCCCATGGTATTTATTTTTAAAACTGAAGTGACATCTAGTGGTGGGTGGTTACTGTAGTCCAAGGACATCTGCAACCAATTTCAAACATAGAAGTCTTTAGATGCGTTGTAACTTAATACTAATATATAAGACTAACATAATAATATTTGACGGCTCCGTGGCGCAATGGCTTAGCAATGAGTTACAGCGCTAAGGGCCGCGGGTTCGAATCCCGCACGGAACAAGTATTTGTATGGCCTACAAATAATTGTTTTGAGTCTGGATGCTTGTCCTTGTGAAATCTGTGTATGTAAACTGTCCCCACAATACAGTAGAAAATCTTAGTGTGAAGGTAAAGTTTTTTTAAAGATAAAAGAAAAAATCAAAAGTATACCTGACGGACTGTGATTGTACTGGCCCTCTATACTTTTCACATCGAAACATAACAGTGAAAGATCTGCTATTTCGCGACAGAAATTGGTCAGAGAGCCAACCCAGACAAAGTCCTGGGCAGAAAAGGAGCACTAGAAACTTGAAATTTAGCAGACACACTATAAATTAACAAGTTCCTGTACATAAAACTAACGGTACCAATAACTTTGTCGAAATCATAAATAGTAAAGCGTTAATGCAATAAAACATATTGAATATTTATTTAGATTAATAATAATAAACCGTGTAGTGGCCGTGTAAGAATATTCATTACTCTATATTATCCCGTGGGTGCCGTAAGAGGCGACGGAGGGAAACAAATCAGTAGATGAACAGCAGTGTCTTCCTAAAGCCGCGTCTCCACCAAAGTTTTGTTGTCAACACAACATTTGCCAACAAAACTTGTTTCCATTTTCGGCGGCAACATCAAAGGAATACGCTTGTTGCCAACATTTGTTCCCTCGGTGGAGACGCTTTTTGACAGAAACATTTGTTGGCAACACGTGTGGGTAACTGTTGTATTGGCAACAAAACTTTGGTGGAGACGCGGCTTAATAACGACGACGAAAAATTAAAAACTGTGGTTGCCAACCCGCTTGCCAAGCGTAGCAACTATGGCAAATATCCCCCCTATGGGGCACTCAATGGGAGAGGTCTATGTTCAGCAGTGAATTTTAATAAGCTGAATAAATATAATCTTTTTTTATATTAAATGTATTCCACCAAATAAATACATGTGATAATGTGGCTAAGTTAAAATAATACCTTATTTTTAAATCACACAAACATAATATTATGTACATGAAACATAAGGTACCAACAGGCCTCCACTAAGCACAGCAATTATGTATAGCCCTGTAATAAATATCCTTGTGCTACGATTTATATAATGTCTGGCGATTATATCAAAGTTAATGACGGAAGATAATTTCAACAAGTTTCTTTGAAGGTCTTTTGAGTGTTTAACAGTTTGTCACTTCAATATTCTGTTCATCTACGTTTACAAGTTTACAACTCTATTGTATTTTAATATTATTTTATTATATGTAAGAGCTGGTGTATTGATACCAAACTACCTCAGTAGTTTGGTATCAAGTAAGGAAATGTACCTCTATAAAAATTGTAAGGGTAACAAACGCACAGCATCTACATCTATCATCAAGTGACTATTGAAATAAAGATGCGTTTGTCACCCCTAACGACTACGTTGGAACGTCTTTACCAGTGTAAAATGGTCTTTTTTGTAATAATGCGTAGCGGAGCGTAGCTCTGCGTAACCAAGTGATCGTAATTATCATTACAGCCTATCAAGAGTCCACGGCTGACCATAGGTCTTCCCGATATATTGCCTCATATGGGCGATTTTGCTATAACTCTCACTCTTGGCAGGCGGCGATATGAAGTAGAGGATATTCTTACGCCGCACTACACAGCAAACGTAATTATCAAACCATGTAGCAACCACGTGCTTAGCAAAATTCTTCTTAAAATAATATTAATATTTTTTTCATAGGTATTGTCAACAGAGGCGACTCCTTTCGCCGTCGGCGGTCTCGCTCCGGTAGTCTGGCGCCGTCGTCACCGGCTCAAGCCACCCCCGAGCCACAAGAACGTCGCCCGGTCGCTTGTCACAGGGTAGCGATGGTAGGGGCGCCAGGGGTAGGCAAGACCGCCCTCATCAGCCAGTTCCAGACCAGTGAATGTATAAATGCATACGATAGACAAAGAGGTGAGTGTATTGCTATAATATAGAAACCTCTTTCAAGTGTAACTGGTTGAAAATTATTTGATTTAAAAATAAAATGTTCGAATTTAGACATTCTATTTTTAGTTGTTGAAGCTTACCGCACATAGGCCTCGCCCATAGATTGCCTCATAGTGGGGATATTTTCCATAGCTGCCACGCTTGCCAAGCGAGTTGGCAACCGCAATTTTAGCTTATTTATCAATAAATATGAAGGCAAGTCAGGAAATATAAAATGTTTTGTAATTTCTCATTTTTATTGTACTTATTTAAGCAATGGGTTGAGTAGACGTGCATTTTTGTTATACCAAAGCTAGTTCGAGGTTCCAGTTACCAATAATGGTTTTTACAATTATTGATTTCGTCATGACATGAACATCATGCCATCTACCATTATGATGAATTAAAACCGTGAATTGGAACCGTGCTTTGTGGTAATCTATGTGGAAGTTTTTGGCACGGTCCATATAGATGATGAGGACAATGATTATTATGTATAATGTTATTTCAACAAAAGTAATATAATTACAAATGTAATTGAACTATCAGCGACAAACGCGGGACACAGGAATTATATTTGTCTTGCAGAAATTTAAGAAATATTATAATACACTTTGATTTTTCGATTTTTTACGACAATGCAATGTAAATACATAAAAACATCATTAGTTAAACACTGATGTATCTATATTCTGTTAATACTAGGAACAGGTACAACCTAGTAATAGCAGTTACCTACTCTACTTCACAGTCAGTAATTCATTCATGGGGCAATGTAAACGTTTTAAAAAATATTGTGTATATTAATATTTAATATTGTGTATATTTTGTAAAATGTATCTATCGCGTAATTTAAAAAAATAAATAAAGATTGTCTATAAATAATTAATATAATATGAAAGGAATACATGGATAATAAAAATAATCCCTGGGTTATGTTGTCACTACCGTGCCATTTATAAGATTTGTATAATTAATTATAAAACAAGACATGTTGTGAACTGTACTTTAAAAGAAAATCCAATTGGGATTCTGTTACATTTTTCCCGACACAGAGGCGTTTTCAGAAGCAGTGGTAATTAATCTTTAAAATTACTTTATTAAAAGTTTTTGTATGTATGTTTAAATGTTTATGTATGTATAAAAGTATTATTTGTAATCTGTATTATACAACATTAGTACAAAATATGCAAACATTTCTAGTATTTGCTTTCCTTTGTTGCAAAAGGCTTCTATTTCGTGGATTGTTTTGTGGATTCTACCGTGGAATAGATAGCGGTACAGGAAATTATTCACTTCATTTATTTTTTCATTAAATATGATTATAATTCTTATTTTTACGGTGCGGTGTGGTGGTATAGAATCCATTGCCCATCATCTCGTGGGTGTCGTAACACGCGACAGAGGAAAGTTTAACGTGAGATTTGCAGCGCCATCTACCTGATAGCAACTTGGCATGCCAAGCGTGACAACTAGAAAAAATATTCCTGTGAGGCAATCTATGGAGGAGGTTTATGTTGACTTTTAATAGGCTGTTCCCGTTCCAATCATCATTATAATTAGATAATCATGATTGTAACGGGAACTATTTCAGAATTTGTTCGTTTGTATGAAAATAACTTACAGCTGACTCTCAATAGACTGATACCTAAAGTTTATCCGCCGAATAAATTATTAGCTGAAATAAATTCTAACTGAAGATCGAAAAATCGGCCTTTACTAGAATAACAATAAAAGTACCAACCTATAAAAGTATACTCTATTATTGGATTGGACTATAGCTTAAAAGGTTTAAAAAAAATCTGGAACTTTTTTCATTTGTTTGCACACGTCCAACAACATACGTTGCTCTATTTTATTGAATGTGTAATCGTGTTTATAATTTAAAAAAAAATAATTTTTATCGATTATCAATCGTCATTATCAATTACAATCTATCTAATTTCACTACTGAACATAGGGAATAGATATGCTACTTGGGAAGGATATTTCACTTAGTTACCAGTTGCCTCGTTCGGTATACATTTTGGCTGCCACAGTTTTTTAATGTTTTGAATTGTCATCAGGAAGATGGTGTTCCCCATCTCCTATTTCAGTTTCCCGTGGCCGCCTGTTACATCACCCCTCGATGGTATGAGGTAGTGAATTTTCTTATGCTGCCATCACACGGCACTACGAAGTCAATCAATAATATAACGTTCAAACGTTGTAGAAATAAGGTAGATATAGGAACATAGAATAAGAAAATTTTGTAAGATTATATATGTTGTACATATACTACTTGCAAAAAGAATATGGCAAAGGAAAGAAAAAAAATGCAATAAAAACAAAAGCCAAAAAAAGGAAAAAAATATGCAGATAGTCTAGTATATAGAGAAAAAAAACGTTATTAACTATAAGAAAATCTATCAAATAGTCTTAATGTAGTTATAAGAATATGTACATCAGTGTCACCGGTGTACCCAATTATTATACACTGTATTATACGTGGTAGAGCCATGCTGCAGCTATATAAGTGGTATAGTTGTAGCACGAATGGGTCGGCTCGACCATTTCAGAAACCACTTAACATGAGGTGGACTGTAGGCTCGTTTGTCAGCCTATACTATAAAAAAAATGTATGCACTGAGGCCGTCTAACAGAAAAAACCCGGAATAAAAAAAATAAAAAATATTTTGCTATGCAATGTTTCCGACCAGTGTCAGAGGTGGAATAGAATGACAAACAAAAAAAATATAACGTTAAATCAAAACGATGAAAATAAAATTATTATTAACTTCGTTCAAAGTATCGCTCAATACGTACTTTTACTATTCAACGAAAATTAATTGATGCCTCCGCTGTATAGAGATGTCTCTGAATTAAAGCACTTTTCATTATCTAATTATTATAAAATTTTATATATATTAATTATATACAGATATGATTAATATTATTTTTATGTATAGATATGATTTTTATCATACAAATTCTCTTCAAAAAAAATCAGTATGAGCAAAGTCTAGCGAGTACAAATAACGACGAGTTTCAAGTCAAAGTTTGGTAATTTTTAAACATACTATTATTAACTACAGGCTATTATGTACTATGTTTTGACGATCGTTGTCGTGGAGATATAAAGATAAAGATATAAACAGCAGTTGACAACTTTCGACTTGATAGCTCGCTTGTCCATCATCGTTTGAAATTCATGACAGTACTATACAGTAGGTAGTTGTTTTGTCTGACCACAAGAATGGGAATATTAAGTCGGCACACATATCTACACATATATATGTATATGTACAGACCGACACTGTGCGATATAGAAGATGTTTTCTTCCTCGCACAACTTCCTTGTGGAATCGATTACCACCAGCGATTTTTCCGGACCGATACGACTTAGGGACCTTCAAGAAAAGAGCCTACTCCTTTTTAAAAGGCCGGCAACGCATCTGCAATTCCCTTGGTGTTGCGGTTGTTCATGGGCGGCGGTAGTCACTTACCATCAGGTGAGCCGCATGCTCGTTTGCCCCCTCTCCTATAAAAAAGACGAGAATATGAAGAAGAGATATATTATACTATATAGTTGGCAGTACCACGGAAAGCACATGAAGCCGTTTGACTTGTGAATGATCTCTCTCCAGTCGTGTCGGATTGACGTTCTAGAATAGAAAGTGCACCTGCAAATTGACCTTCGTTGAGACTAGCCGCCGTGACCAAAATTCGGTCTTGAGTACATTACTATTACTATATGTAGACTTATATATATTGTTCACACATATATGAGTAGGCAAGACCGAGTATATGCATATATATTGATAAAGGGATCGTAACTCGTTCTTGACTAATGTCGAAATGAAAACTTCCTTAAATATCTGTGATTTGAAATTCGATGAAACGAAAAAGCGACACAAAAAAGAAACAAACATATACATCTATAGGATTTAGCCTGGAGAGAATGAGATAGATTACAATGTATACATTGTTTCTTATTATCTCTGTCTCCTTTTCTGAAGGTTTCAATTCTACCGCGTGTGAACTGCACACATTGTTTTGTTATATCCTCAGTTCTACAGTTCCTTTTTGTTTGTAGAATTAAGTTAGTTTCTTTTATTATCAATAACAAAATGTAATTATATAATATATTTATTATCTATATATTATAATAAATTAATTAATGTATTTAGTAAGTATGTGACATATATTAAAATCTTATATTCTTTATATTGTAAATTATGTTGTTCGATTAAAACTATTCCCAATTATTACAGAGCCTACTGTTGAACTGTTTTAGAATATAATTGTCCAAAATATTGAACTTTGTAATTTATAATAATCACATATATGTCTAGTAGTATACTAGTATATTTTATGAAAAAAAAGTCATATTAATTAAGTAACATTGACCCTAATTTAAAAATAACCAGTACTTTTGTTTTCAGATATCGATAGCTCGGAGCAAAAGGTATCCATTCTACTCAATGGTGAAGAATCAGAATTATATTTCGTGAACTGCACAAGCACAAAGGTAAAGAAGCCTAAAGTATTATAGGTTAGAATTGCGGTCACCTTAACAGCTTGTAAGCGCAGTGTAAGTAAGCGAACCGAAATTTTGTCTCTGCCGATCTCACTCATCACTTACAATACATCCTATAAAAGTCTACTGCTGAACATAGGCCTTCTCCATAAATTGTCTCAAAGGAGTTTGCCATAATTGCCACGCCTGACTGGCGAATGTGCGATCGCAGCTTTTATTATTTTGATTAGTTTTCAAGAAGATGCTGCTGCCCATCGTACATCGTACGACATGCGGTAGTGAATATTTTTACAACGGTACTGCGACGCGGTTTAACCGTATCGATCTTACTGTGTTGGTGTAAAATTGGGAAATTTTGTTGCTTCTGTGTTAGCGCTAATTCAATCATCAGGCCTCAAATAGATCGATACTGGACATAGATCTCATCATTCCTTTACAGCCTGTTAAAGTTCATTGCTGGACAGAGGCCTTCAATAGAGATTGGCTCATAGGGGGATATTTACCATTGTTCCTGCGCTTGGCAAGCGGGTTGGTAACATGGGTTATCATCAGGCCTCAAACAGACTACTACTGGACTTAGGCCTCTACCATAGTAGGGAGTAATTCCAATAATCGCCATACTTGACTGGTGGATAGTCGGCCACATATCGTTTCGTTTCTTTAACGCTACTTGCTGGTCCGAGTATTCCATTCGTAAAATTCCATTAATAAAGATTTAATAAGGAATTATAATAATATCATCTAGGTCGAATTTCGTTCACGACGGTCAGTCATAACGGGGACTAACAACAACAGGACAGGATTATAGGACAAGTACAATCCAATTATTGATTTTGGCTTGACCTGGAATTCGAATCCGGGATCTCATGATAAGCAGTCACGCTTACGACCACTGGAGCAACGAAGCAGTTAAGAAATATTATAATATGAAGGTTGTTGAATTACATTCGCTCTTGTAAACGTAACTCCCCTGTCACACACTCGTCGTGTGGCATGGGAAGTAGTGAGGAAAGGAGGCAGAGACGTAGTGTGGCAACAATATATGCCGCACGTCATTCTTGTCATCATGCTCATCGCTCCCTGTTTTATCGGTTTTTTGGGCGCGTGTGGCCAGCCACATAATCGCGCGAACGCTATCCGAATCAAGCGCACGTTACGGAAGCGTCGTTCTATTGCAATGAATAGATGTCATCCACAATCTACTGTGGCAAGGACGACGACGTACATATATTTTTACGATCTATATTAAATACGTATACAGCGCTCACACTGCCACAGTTTGAAAATCCATTGTGTTGCAAACGCAAACGCCCTAGTACAGAGCGGCGCGATTCATTGCGCGAGTAGAGCAGTGTGTGGGCAGAGAGCAACATCGCAGCAGAGCGAAGAGTAATACGATGAGCAGCGTATGGAGCATAGTGTGGCTGAGCCATAACATAAGAAGGAAAAACATCAATATGTTTTTTTTTTAATAAAATTGAAGTGTCAAGTTAAGTAACAGTCCACCTGAATACCAGTGGCTACTGCAACACTGCGATCAACTTAGAACAAAAAGAAACTGCAGTCCATAGACACGTGTAACCAACTTAAAACAAAAAACTTCGTTGTCACTTTACAGCCCGTAGGCTCTTTATGCCATTCGAACCGGAACATAATAGTGTAGGCATTGCTGCATTTAAGAGTGTCTTACTGATGCACTCTTGGGCAGAAAAGAAGTTTTTTTTTATAGGAGAGGGGGCAAACGAGCATGCGGCTCACCTGATGGTAAGTGACTACCGCCGCCCATGAACAGCTGCAACACCAGGGAGGGAATCGCAGATGCGTTGCCGGTCTTTTAAAAAGGAGTACATTCTTTTCTTGAAGGTCCCTAAGTCGTATCGGTCCGGAAAAATCGCTGATGGTAATCGATTCCACAAGGAAGTCGTGCGAGGAAGAAAACATCCTCTAAATCGCATAGTGGTGGACCGCCAATCATCCAGATGGTGTGGATGGTATCGGGAGTTCTGCCGCGATGTGCGTTCGTGAAATTTGGCGGCTAGGATTAATCCGAACAATTCCTCAGAGCACTCCCCGTGGTAGATGCGAAAGAAAATGCAAAGGGATGCAACACCTCTTCGAAGTGCCAATGAATCGAGCCGATCGGAAAGGACTCGGTCGTTGACGATTCGAGCCGCTCTACGCTGGATGCGGTCAAGTGGAAGGAGCTGGCACTGGGGAGCCCCTGCCCAGAGATGGGAACAGTATTCCAGTACAGTATGGGAACAGTAGTCCTACCATCTAGTTAATGTTTCATTATAATGAAGTATTTTTTTAATTCACGCCCATATATTTGCAGGAGGAAATAGACCGCTTAGAGCCACCAGACGCGTTCGTAGTCATATACTCAGTTGTAGATAAGGCGTCGTTCCAAAAAGCGGAACAGGAACTAGCCAGGCTGATGGACAGCGATATGCTCAGATCTAGACCAGCATTATTGGTTGCCAATAAGATAGATCTAGCAAGAAGTAGAGCCGTGTCTACACAGGGTAAGTGGATTTCTTGTTACCTTTTATATTAAGTCTTCTTAATTTAAGATTTTTTATAGGAGTAACAAATGAGCCCACAGTCCATTTGATGGTAAGTGGATACTGTCACCAATAAATATTTAACATCGATTAAAAATAAAATACAAATGCGATGTCATAATAATAAATAAATAAATATAGCTCAGTAGCTCAGGGGCTGAGCGCTCGCTGTAAATTTCACAGTACACGAGCAACCCGAGTTCGATCCCCGCCGGCACCATTTAAATTGTTAATTGCAATTTTAAGTGCTGATTTACTACGTGATCGGTGGTGAAGAAAAATGTGTCGTATATCGTGTCATGAATAAAGATCGAAACTTGCATGTCTGAGACATAAGAGAAAAATATTTCGAAGACATGAAGTCCGCCAACATGCATTGGGGCAGCGCGGCGGACATTTCCTTGCCTCTCAGAAATGAGAAGAGAACTGTGCCCAGCAGTGGGAAATCCCTTCTTTCATAATGACAATCATTAAAAACGCTAATAAACAAAATCAGGTCTAAATATTAAAAAAATGTTGGGAAGCGACAAATTTATTTCCTCGCCATTTTCTCCGTTTAAGGAGAAAATTGACTTAAATTGATTTCCCGGGCGAGTTTCTCTCAAACATAATTACGCCCATACATTTCGTGATGAAGTAATTCTTTGGAGAAATTTACGCTTTGCTATAAACGATTTCTTAACTACAGCTAAAATGTGTGTATTATTAGAAATTATCTTACTTCTGATTTAATAAATATATTTTTTTTAATATAGAATAAGGGTGACAAACGAGCAAACAGTCCACGTGATGGGAAGTGGATGCTATGCCATAGACATCTACATTTAAGTTCGGTTAGGAATCAAAATGCAGATGCGTTGTGATCCCTGAGGACTAAGATGGAATGCCTCGTTTCCAACAAAAACGGTATCCATTGCTCTACACTCAATATACAAAACACAGCACCATTGAGCTGCTATTTTACGCTGGTGTTTTGTGAAAGCAAGGTCCTACCCCGGTAGAGCCAACTCATTCGTGCTAAAACCATAATATAGCTATAGCGTCGCCCTACCATGTATAAAATATTAGGAGGTTATAGAATATTAGGAAGTTATTTAAAAAAATAAGTGTTAGAGCGGATGCTTAACTTGCTCTTTTGCTTGCGTAATTAATGACTATAACTATCAGTAATAAAACAGCATACTTACAATTTGACCATACCGTAATTTATTCCGGTCATAATCACATATTAGTATAGGGTGATGTACGTAATTACAGTAAAACGTGTATACGTGGTGGGTAGAGACATGCTGCAGCTATATTAGTAGTATAGTTGTAGAACGAATGGGTCGGCTCGACCGGGGAAGGACCACGCTCTCACAGAATACCAGTGAAAATGGCAGCTTGACACTGCTGTGTCGTATGGTGAGTGTAGAGAACCAGAGACCTATTTTACTGGAAAAGAGGCATTCCATTTAAGTCCTCACGGGGTGACGACGCATCTGCATTTTGATTCTTTATTGAGGATAAATGTAGATGTCTATGGGTCACAGCAACCACTTGCCATCAGGTGACTGTGTGCTCGTTTGTCACCATATCCTATAAAAAAAACATTAATAGATTTAGTACGCAAACTAGCATCATCACATCACAGCACCACAGCCTATCTGCTTACCTATGTGACACTGGGCAGCTTCTCAGCAACACAACCTTTGCTTGTAATAGAAGAATTATCACAACGGACAGAATAATTATACCAAATAATACTATTAGGCTGACTAATTACGTTATTTGTCTGAGCCTTACTTTATACTACTAATACGAGCGGAAGATTAGAATTCTATCCTTATTTCTTCGTCATATATCCATCCATTACAGGCAATTAATGTCCAGTGTTGAAACTAGGCCTCAACTTTGATTTTGCATAAAGGAGATATATGCCGTTGAGGTCACGTTTGGCAACAGAGTGGGCAACCACAGTCTTTCAATTTGTTGTTATTAGAAAGAAGCTACTGCCCATTTCCTGCTTATTTTCATCCTCCCTGTCGCTTCTTACAACACCCAAATAGGACAGTGGATATTTTTACAGCGCCACTACACGGCACACTCACTTCTTCGTATTTTATTTTCTACCCGCATTCCTAACAGTTTATAATAAATTTTTGTTTGCAGATGGTAAATGTCTCGCGTGCACATACAAAGCAAAGTTCATAGAAGTGTCAGTGGGTATAAACCACAACGTTGACGAGCTGCTAGTTGGAATCCTGAACCAAATTCGCCTCAAAAAGCAACAGTATTCAGCGGAAGGAGGGAGGGAAACCTCACCGGCTCACTGGTACAAATCGAGAGGCGTAGTCCGAGCAAGCATGAAAGCGAGGCAGATGCTCACCTGGATATTCGGTAAGGAGGATTCCAAATTCAAAAACTGTGAGAACTTGCACGTTCTGTGAGTGGAGAGTGATGGACCTGTGTTCGTTTAGAGTGCGGTTTAAAAACAATCTGGTATAAGTGCAGAACACAGGTGTTATAAGTAATTAGGAATATTTAAGCTAATATTTATAGTATTTTTAGATGTAAGATAGTGTTCGTGTATGTTAATACGACCAATGGAAACTTTTAGAAAGTAATACAATATGACAAGCGCCTCTTTAATTCAAATATCCTTTTTAATCTATGATATTTGATGGCAATAAAATTAGAATGGACATGGTAGCTCAGAGACTAAAATGTCATTTTAAATTTCAGTAGGTAAGTGGGCAACCCGTTTTAAATCCCCGCCGCCTCAGTGCATATTTTGTGATCTTAATTTTTAGTGACCCTTTGATGGCGGTGTAAAAACAACCACTACACCAAATCATGGGTGTCGTATATAACGACAAAGAGAAACAAGTCAGGAGATTGTCAGCGTTTTCCTAATAATATCTGGAAATAAAAACCACCGTGACCAACCCGCCTGCCAAGTGTGGCAATTATAGGCAATATCCCCATTATGAGGTAATTTATGAGGATGTCCATGTTCAGCAGTGGATGTTGATAGGCTGTAATGATTGAATAAAACATAATTCATAATTTTATTCGTAAGCCTCGTTTAGATACTCGCCGAGTACAGACCAATAGGCACGAGTACGTATACGCAAACGCCTTGTTCGGGTGTTCTCGATACTCGCATAGAGTATTCGCCTGTTCTCCACTCGATGGCGGTTTTTTTAGCACGAGTCAAAGGAATGCTCATGTGTATTCGTGTCGGTGTTTATGTACTCGTCATTATTTGCTTGATCCGTGAACTACAATTTTAATATAATTACATACTCTTAGGATCATAGCTTTTAGATTTATTGATAAATTACTGCAGTATTTCTCTTGATTCGAATAATATTATATCGTATCGATACGTCGATACGATATAATATTATTCGTGTTTATGTACTCGTCATTATTTGCTTGATCTGTGAACTATAATTTTAATTTACTTAGCCAATCTACCGTTATAAGTTTCTCTAATACTTTTCTTTGACAATATATATTAAAAAAATATAAGCATGTACTCGGCTCAGCTGAAACTATAAATTTCAGAAGAGCGAAACTACTTTTATATATTCTACTTAATAGAAACTATTTGTACTCCTGCCGTCTTGTCATCTTTTTCATTTAAAATATTACTGAGTCTATAAAAGTTAATTAGATATTATGTCATAGCAACGAAATGTACGTCATTCATGTTAAAAAAATGTACGTTGAATGAATACAGACGAATATGTAAACGCGTCGTACTCTTCCACGAATAACTCGGTGAGTTATTAGGCGAGTTGCTTGTCCGATAATCTAAACGTGCTAGTAGATTTGATAACATTGTTCTCTGTGCACATGTTTTTAAAGAAGCGTTTGTCTAAAAATGTAAAAAAAATGCCAAAGATATATAATCCTTATATTTGTTTTTTTTTTTGAGTTCATGTGCCAATTTTTGAGAGAATTTTAAATACATACTCTTAGGATAATAGCTTTTAGATTTATTGATAAATTACTGCAGTATTTCTCTTGATTCGAATAAAATTATATCGTATTGACGTATCAGCTTAAATAGTAAGTAAATTTTATTAGCTAAGTTGGAGTATAATAAGCTATATTTGATGTAATATTTGTATTGTATACTGGACCATTTAATGTGTAATAATGATATCATAAAGTATCTGAATATTAAAATATTATAAAAAATATATTGTAATCTTGTCTTCAAGTACGCAATTAAAGTAATATATAAAAGTATAGTATAAAATAATAGAATATGAAGCTAAATTAATTGGAATTTAAATTACGATTTTTTTAATTACCATAATTAAAAGATAGGCAACGTTTGTATTTCCCTTTGCTCTATGATTTGAATTATGTTGTTATTATAACAATGATATATTTAAACGAAAATCAACCTTACCGATTTTAAAGTTTTAAGCCATTATGAAACATATTTTTGTGAGTGAATTATTTCGTTTTTATTCCTATAATTCGGAATTGTATACCAGGGTCCACAATATTCCTTCCATTTGAAATAAAACTAACCTTCATAATATTTAGATCCATCCAGATCAAACTTTTTAGGAAATATTTTTCACACGGTACTTTTTAAGTAACGAATACATTATTTACAGTAGATAAATAAAGTAACCTTCCTTCCTAAAATTACTAAAACTAAATAAAAAGGTAAATAAAGAAACATTCGTAATTAATAATTCTTAAAACACTAATTATATCAAAAAATATCAATAAATTCGACTCATATCTTAAGTATTTGTACTTATATGAAAAAAAAAACATTTTTAATCTGTTCCTTGTGATTAGTATGTATATAAAATGCGGTTGCACCAAAGGATTTGATACATTAGAATTTTATTAAATTAAAAAAAAATAATAAATGTTAACGTGATATTACACTTTTTTGTTGTTTTAAATCTCTTTTGTATTTGCATAATATCCCTCACATGTCGAAGAGTAACGAATATTTCTGGCTTCAGATGTCTGGCTGCGATTACATCTAAATAACTAAATTAAAAAGCCCTGATCACTAAAAATGTACAATCGTCCCAATTTTTTTTTAAATTTGTTCGTGCGGTTCCTGCATACGAGAATCTTTTAGGTACCTCATATCTCAAACACAGCGGTCGTAAAACGACAAAGTTAACTTTTAAAATCAATTACATATATTAATGAATAACCAGTTAAAAACCTGCTGGACCTGAGAATGACATTTGTGCAGCAGTTCGATGTTTTAATAAATCTTAGCAAGAAATTGTTTTTAACTTATTCGGCTATAAATTTAGGAAATATAAATAAATACATATCAAAGAACAAAGGTACAGATTCCCTTTGGACATATGCTATTTGATTTCATGTGGATATCAATTATCTTTCAAACTTTTTTTAATTATTTTTACCTAATAACGAGAATTAATTATGATAGAAATATTCGCACAACTCCTACCATTACACTATGGTTATAGAATCCACTACCCAATATCATTTCATGGGCGTAGTAAGTGGCGGCAGAGGGAAATGAACCAGGAGAGAGGCAGCCGCAGCTTACTGATGACTACGCAAAAGTAATAAATAGCTGCGATTTCAACCCGAGCGTGGCAACGATAGCAAATTCTAGTCTCTCGACTTATTCGAGGCAATATATGGGGAAGGTCAATGCTCAGTAGTTGACTTTTGATAAGCTGAAATGAATAAATTAATAAAAAAAGATGTTTAAGATCTCAATGAGGGCTAATAATTTTGTGCTCACCAGATGTTGACACTGAGGTAAAGTTTTTTTTGTTACACAATGTAATTTAATTGAGAAGTGTTTTAATAAAAGTTTATCACTTTCTAGAGTATTATATTAATACACAAAACAATGCGTCAGTGGTTTGCTCTTTAATTTTTTGCACACTTTTACCTTTTTTTTAATTATTCTACTATTATGAATATCTGTGGTTTGGTATAAGTATTTATTTTTAATGTTATTAATATTAAATATAGCTAATAGTACAAAAACAAACAATAACTTTAACATTTTCCGAACAAATTAACTTCCCCGCTATGAAATCTGTCAAATATTATACCTCACTTTCTAGTGGCGCCGCCCTGGTGGCAGAAAAAGTCGTGGATGCCCTCATTGCAATATACGTTAAAGAACGGCATTAATATTTGCTAAGATTAAGGATGTAAAAACAGCCTTGGCTCGAGGTATGTCTGTGCTCTTCAAAATTAAAAAAAAATTATATGATGACTCGAAGCAGTGCCTTTTAATTATTAAAAACTTTGTAAAATATCTACATGGTTTACTATTAGTTATTTGTTAGAATTTAGTAAATTGTGTACCCTTTTAGTCGTTGTATTAAATATGTTTAAGAATAATATATCAAAGTGTTTTGTTGCTTTTTATTCGATAAAGAACTACTGAATTTTATAGTAAAGTTAAAGCGAATTTTTACATGTTTATAATAAGTTACATTTTGTTGTATGTTATCGTAAAAATATGTAATTCACTAAATTAAATAAATCGGTACTTTGTACTGAAGTGTTTATTCAATTTTATTTTTATATTTTGTGCCATAACCAAAATAAATGTTGTAAATATATAACTTCAACAGTGCATAATTTTAATTATCTGGCATTTTAATATTAAATATATACTATCTCATTGAAAAAAAGTAGTCATATCTTAAATGGTGTATTATTTTAGTATTAGCGTCTTTTTATACTATAAATGTTATGCAAATGTAATTCGTATCTGTAAGAAAAACATTAAATGTATCCTTTCAAGTGTATTATTAACTATAAAGATAATTTATAAAGAGCTTGAAATTGTATGAGACTTATTTCAAACCAAATAGTAGTGTCTGGACTATACATGTTGCATACGAATATATTTATTGTCAGATACTAAAATATCATCCAACATCGTGAAATACATCTTGCGAAACTTTAATTTATTAAGCATAAAAATTTCAATAAATTGTAAAATTATTGTATAGTTCGTTCATAAGCAATCGGTTGGAAATTGGCTTAATACAGTCCGTTAATAAACGGGATGGGAGCGATAATAATTAGTCGCAAACATTTTTAATTATATTTAAAAAAAAAAACATTAAGAAGGAACTAAGAATTTATCACTAGAATTGATTAATGAACTTTATGAACTTAAATATAAAAATTCCCGTAGCTAAATTTTTATAAGTTTATTGTAACACTTTATTTCCCGGCAGGTCTTTCATTATTTGCTCTTGCCATGGATATTTATACAGGACATTTCATGTAATATCATTATGTTATAGTTAGTCTTGATGTGTATTTATTGTAAATAAAATGATTGACAATAAATTTGATAATTGTACGTTGTTGTGTTATTGTAACCCTAATTTAGGCCACGTATTAAATAGATTACACGTGTGGTAGCCGAACGTAAACTTGGTTT